GGAGAAAAATTTAAAACTCAAAAGCTTATGGAAGTGATTGTGGATAACTCAAAATAAGTTAATTAAAAAAATAAAAAGAAAAGTGGTTACAGGTGTCACCAGACAAACATAATGCTGGTACATATAGTGCATGTGGGGCCCAGGCTGGCTAGTAGAGTTACTGTGTTCTGAGGGAATTGTCTGTCCCCAAGAAGTCTCTGTGGCTGAAATATTAGGCAGATAAAGGGGTTACTGATGGATTCGGCTGTCTCCCCTGGTCTGAATTGACTTTGGGGTATAGTATATAATGTCTTCTTTATTTGCCTGAATCAGATAGTCTATGTGACTGGCAGGAAAACTCTTTTTCTTAGGGTCTGCTAAGGGGAATGTTTCACAAGCCAATCTGGGAAGTCAACCAACTCACCAACTGGCAATAAATGACTTTGATGAATTGTCTCTCCTGGGGCCCCATGTGTCTTCTATTTTTATGCATATGTGCATGTCTGCTTTCTGTATATCCCTGTTGGCTAGTCCTTTTTTTTTTTCTATTTTATTCTTATTTAGGGGCAGCTAGGTGGCACAGTGGATAGAGCACCGACCCTGGAATCAGGAAGACCTGAATTCAAATCCAACCTTAGATTCTTACTAGCTATGTGATCATGGGCAAGTCACATAACCCTGTTTGCCTTAGTTTCCTCATCTGTCAAATGAGAAGGAAATGGCAAACCACTCCAGTATTTTTGCTGAGTAAATCCCGAACAGGATCATGAAGAGTCAGACATGACTGAAATGAGTGAACAACGACAACAATTCTTATTTATCTGTAGAGGGCATGAATCAGCCCTCACTATGTGTGTATCCTGCACCAGGGTGTACAGGTGTTCAAGGAGGACCAGCACCTCTGGTGGGATGGCTTGCTAAGCCTTTTTCAAGGCTGCTCATCCACCTTTAGTGTCCACCCAGCCCTCAACTCTCACCTGTGGGTCCAAGAAGCTGTAGTATGTGCACCAGCCATACCCCAGTAAAACCATGTTGGTAGACAGGTTAAACCGGGCTGAGGGTAACACACAGACCTCAAACCTATAGGTGAGTTGGGAGGGTGGTGTCTATCCCAGGCACGTAAAGACTTCCCCTGGTGGAATGGGCAGATGTGAATAATTTGTTCCAAAAACCACTAAGGTGGCCGAGGCAGGTTCTATGGAGCACTTAGAGCTTGGTCAGACATGAAAGAAGCCAAGGTCATTCATCGCACCCCAGGGCCCATCACCAGTCATCCTGACTTTTGCCTTGCAACTGGACTTTGATGACTCTGGAAGAGAGAGTGAGGTGGACAACTTTGTGCACCTCTGCCTCTCTTAAATGCAATTCATGCACGAATCAAGACATCACCCATGATGTCCCTGATCCTTTTTGAAACGGACTCACAACATCCTGTGTGTGTAGTTTAGATTTCTAGCCACAGAAGAGGTATTGTTGAGGAATGCTATGTATCCTTCTGGGCTTATAGTATCCTTTGTATCTTATCCTTCTGATCTGATTCCAGACATGGTTGACCTAAAGGTTAAATAGCACCATAGGATAACTATTTGTGATGTTGGGATATATTTGTTTTGGTCTGGACCTTTGGTTTTATCCACGCAAGGCAAAGGTCCTTATAGAGTGTTATTATTCTCGTGAGCAGAGGAGGCTAATTGGAAATCCCCACCATGGAAGGAAGGGATAGGGTTGGATGCCAGAAACAGCCTGGGCTTTTACAGACTGAACTCCATCTGTTGGCCAGCAGGGATTCTACAGTCTCTTAGCAAGGATATCCCATGCGTGTCTAGAGAGAAAGAAACAAGGTCTTCGGGCTTATAGTTCAAACAGAGCTAGACCTAGTTAGCAATTCAGATACTGCTGCACCTGGCTGTATTATTAATACAGTGATACCATGTCGGCATAAGGCAATCAGTACTGGACCTGGGAACAAGGGTCTTTTAAATAAATTTATTTACTTACTTATTTTAGTCTTCAACATTCACTTTTATAAGATTTTGAGTTCCAAATTTTTTTTATCTCTCCTTCCCGACCCTCCCCAAGATGGCATGCAATCTGATATAGGCTATACGTGTACAATCACATTAAACATATTTCCGCATTAGTCATGTTGTGAAAGAATCAGAACAAAAGGGGAAAACTGTGAGAAAGAAAAAAAAAGAGAAAATAATATGCTTCTCTCTGCATTCAGACTTCATAGCTCTTTCTCTGGATGTGAAAAGCATTTTCCATCATGAGTCTTTTGGGGTTGTCTTAGATCATTGCATTGCTGTGAAGAGCTAAGTCTGTCACAGTTGATCATCATTACCATATTGTTATTACTGTGTACAATGTTCACTTGGTTCTGCTCACTTCACTCAGCATCAGTTCATGTAAGTCTTTCCAGGTTTTTCTGAAGTATTCCATTACATTCATATACCACAACTTGTTCAGCCACTCCCCAGTTGATAGGCATCCCCTCAATTTCCAATTCTTGGCCACCACAAAAAGAGCTGCTACAAATATTTTTGTGCATGTGGGTCCTTTTCCCATTTGTATGATCTCTTTGGGATAAAGACCTAGTAGTGCTATTACTGGGTCAGAGGGTATGCAGAGTTCTACAGCCCTTTGGGCATATGAACTTGTTCTCTTCAAAGTTACCAAAAATCTTCCAAATTTAGTAGCCTCTTCTTAATTCTCAGCCTTCTCAATCTCTCTTTCCATCTTTGACACTGGCAGCTCCCCTTTCCTGAACACTCTCTCTCCTCTGTAGGTTCTCAGGACGCCTCTCTCTCCTGGCTCTCCTACCAGCTGTCTTATCTCTGGCCATTCCCCTTGAGTCTCCTTTGCTGATTCATCGTCAATGTCACATGCACCGTTAGTGTTCCTTAAGGCACTGTCCTCTGCCTCTTCCCTTTTTTCTCTCTGGTCTCACTTTTGGTGACCTCATAAGCGCACATGGATTCCATAATCATTTTGATGCAGATGACTCCTGTAATCTATCCAGCCCTAGTTTTTTTCTTGCATTCTAGCTTCTTATCACCAACTGCCTATTGGGCATTTCAAAGTAGACATCCTGTAGGTACCTCAAATTCAACATGTCTGAAAGAGAGCTCTTAGCTTCCCCCCAAACCTCTTCTTCCAAGCTTCCTTAGTTCTGCTGATGGCACGACCATCATTCCAGGTTCAAAACCTCAGTGTCATCCTGAACGCCTCACTCCCACCCCACATTTGCAATCAGCTGCCAAATCTTCTCTTTTCCACTGAAGGCATCGAGGCAGTTCAGTGGATAGTGCTGCATTTGGAGTCAAATCCTGCCTTTGATGCAACCTCTTAGTCTGTCCCCTCATCTGTAAACTGGGGATAATAACAGCCCCTACCTCCCGGGGTCGTTGTGAGGATAAAGTGGAATAATATTTGTTAAGTGCTTTGCAAACCTTAAATGCTATCTAAATGCTGGCTATATTGTTCTCTCCTTATGCCTCTAGATATGCCCCTTCTCCTTGCCTTGCACCTGTACTACTAAAATGGTCTTTTCAGTTTTCCTGTCTTAAGCCTTTCCCCCACTCCAGTTTTCTCTCCTCGTAGCTACCAATGATTTTCCTAAAACGCTGATCTGACCGTGTCTGCCCTACCCAACAAATTCTAGTGGCTCCCTTTGTCTCCGAGGATCAAATAGAAACTTCTTTTCTTTGGTGGTGGGAGGCAATTGGGGTTAGGGACTTGCCTAGGGTCACACAGTATCTGAGGCCAGATTTGAATTCAGGCCCTCCTGACTCCAGTGGTGGTACTCTATCCATTGCACCATCTAGAAACTCCCAAACTCTTCTCTTTTAAATCTCTCTCCCCTTTCTCCATCTCTCCACCTATCTCTCCTCCTCTCCATTTCTCTTTTCTCTTTCCCTCCTCTCTTCATCTTTCTCTCCCCTCTTTCTTTGTCCATCTCTCTCCCCTTTCACCATCTCTCTTCTCTCTCCCCCCTCCTCTCTCTCCTCTTCCCTTTCTCCATCTTTCTCCCCTCTCTCCCCCTCTCCCTTTCTCTCTCCATCTCTTTCCTCTCTTTGTCTATCTCTCTGTGTCTCTCTCCATCTCTATCTCCATCTCTGTCTTCTCTCTTTTTCCTCTCTCTCTCCATCTTTCTCTCTCTCCTCTTCCCCCCCCCCACCCCATGCCTGGAATATACTCCTTCCCCTCTGCCCTTTGTAATCCCTGGTTTCCTGGAAGACGCATCTCAAGCCCAACCTTCTTCATAAAGCCTTTCCTGATCCATGCACCAACTAGGACACTCCCTCTCCCCTCTCCCATATTCTGTACTTTGGCTCATTGGCCAGTCCCTGTTATATTCCTAAGTCATCTGTTACTGAAAGCTTTTGGAGAACAGGAACTAAAACCCCATATGTCTTTGTTTCCCCAGATTATCACAAACAAAGTAATTGCTTAATAAGATGCTAGTCAGCTGAACCAGAGGAAATAGTGCAAATATTATTGTCATTTATACAGAGGGAAGCTGAGGCTGAGAGGTTTGGAGGGGATCCTCAGAATCAATCAATCCATCAACAAGCATTATTAAAGCCCTACTATGTGTCAAGTGCACTGTGCAAAAAACCGCAACACTTCCTGCCCTCAAGGAGCTTACATTCTAGGTGAGGAGAATAAACTGGGGTTGGTTTGGGCAGCTCAGGGCATCTCTTTTCTTGCCCTCTTGCTCACTGCTAATTTCAGCTCTCAGGTACTCAGAGCTGGACAATAGGGCCCTCTGAGATCTTGCGAGGAGTGTGTAGACACACCAGTGGGCCGGCCCTGGAGAGGAGGTCTCTGATTTCTCAGTTAACCCTCCCACCATTTCCCCCGGGGGTGGTGGTGGAAGCCAAGGGCTGGCAGAGGGAGGCAAGGGCCCCGAATGCTGGAGTCGGAACAGCAGAGGGCTGGAGGGAAGGCCAGAGGTCAGGGGAGCCTTGGCGTCCCAGGCGCTTCCCTCGGGACACAGAGACTCGCAGAGGCGCATGGAGGAGTCCGAGGCTTTATTCCTCCCGCGTGTACCCCCAATCCCCCCTCCCCCCTCCATATGGTTCTTCCCGGTCGTGTCACGGGTCAGGGCAGGTCGGGAACTCGGCCTCCAAATCTGTAAGTGTACTTTCGGCCGCCGCTCTTGTGCACGATGTCCCGGCGGTAATAGTAACGCAGCCCCCGGCTCAGTTTCTCATAGTTCATCCCAGGCTTCTTTTTACGCTCCCCCCCACAGACGGGCCACCTGTGCAGAGGGAGGGCAGACGAGGCGTTGAGCGCCGGGTGCGGGGAAACCTGGAGCCCAGCGGAGGGAAAGGGGCCGGGGGCGGAGAGGGGGAGGAAGGAAAAGGCACATCTGGGCACGGTACCTCCTTTGGGTCGCACAGCTGGAACTCGCGGCTATTCCCAGTCCAACGGATGCAGCCTTCGCCCGCTCGGTCCCGGAGAAGTTCCAGCAGGAATTGCCATAGCTGAATGGGACCTGAGAAGAGGGTCGGCCGGTGAGAACCCAGGCGTACAGCCTCTCAGCTCCTCCGTCCCGTCTCTTTTCCTCAAAGCAGCCTCATCTCCCCCCGCCCCCGCCCCTTAATAGGGGTGCAGAGTGTAGGTACCCCATTCATACAATTAGAGCATCCCTCTTAGGGATCCTGCTATCCGCTCTGCAGAATTGCCTCCCCCAGTCTTCCACCTCCCACTTCATCGGAAACCTAGGCACCTCAGCCCCAGCTCTAGCCCCCTTACTCAGGGACTCCAGCGTCCTGTCTACCCTACAGCTGCCCCCAACTCTCTTAACTCAAGAACTGGAGCGTTCTAGTTCCCCAGAGCTGATCCCCCTCCCCGCCCCCACTCCCAATCCTCCTACTTCAATGGGGGACTTCGGCATTCACTTACCACGGTGTCCAGTCCTGGGGCCTCTGGTGGCGTTGGCCCGGTCCGAGCGTGGCGTTGAATTCGATGTGACGGGGCACTCGCTTGAGGGAGCTGTGCATTCTGAAGGCTGGTTTAGCTCCCAGGAGGTGGGATATTCCATGGCAGCAGCGCTCCCGCCCTCCCAGCATGGGCCAGTGGGACAATCCCAGTGGGTAGGACCGCTTGGGACAGAGGGGGTGGCCCACGAGGTGAAGCTGGCCTGGCTAGTGGTAAGATCCGCGATCCCCGCCCTTTCAGGGTACGTGAAGCGGGTAGGACCGTAGGGCTGGGAGACTGGGGTGAGCCACGCGGGGTCCGTCCAGTCGCCAGACCACTGGAGGTTCAAGGAAGGGAAGTCTAGGAGGAGAGACCTGTCGCAGTCAGGACGAGCCAGAGCCCCTTCTTCTCCCATCCCAGCTGCAAGGACCCAGGTGCTCTAAACTCCCTCCTTCCCCACACTTCGGGGACCCAAGGCTTTCGAGTCTCCTCGGAGACCCAGGAATTCGAATCCCCCATCCAGGTCCTGAATTCCCTTGGAAGATATTCGAGGTGACTCTCGTCCCAGTCCGCGCCTTTCCCAGAAACCCTGGCTCCCTAATCTCCTTCTTCAACTACAGTCCTTAAAAGCAGACCTCCAGAACTTACCAGTCCCCCACGGAAATTCAGGCAACAGGAAATCGGAGCCGCATTCGTTAGTTGGGAGCCCGGGAAGGTGTGAAATTGGTGCTGAATCTGGGGAGGAAGGAGACAGTAACCCTCGATCGGTCCCTCGGGGACCCAGGAGTATCCTCCACCCCCATCTTCTGAAAGCCTGGCCTCCAGCATATCCTCCCTGTTCCCTGCACCCCCCCCCCCAAGCCGATCCTCTTCGTAATTCCATCTCCAGTCTCCGAGCCTTTGAAGGCTATTAGGCCCCCACGAACTCCCTTCTCCCCCGGGACACTCCCTTCTCCCTTTTGCCTGTTAGGATCTTCTTTATAGTTCTGACATCACATTCTCCAAGAAGTCTTTTTTTGATCTTACTAGCTGCTATTACCTCTCTCTGAAAATTACCGTGTATTGATTTTATTTTTTATACTGATATTTCTCCCTATAGAATGTAAGTTCCCAGAGGGCAGGATCGTAGTAGATAATAGATACTTATTGATTCGGGACTTAGGTGTCCAGGCCTTCAGTACCTGCTCTCTTGGAGACCCATGTGTCCCACTACCTCCAGCTCTTGCCCGCAAACGATCTTACGATCTCTCCTTACCTTTCCATCCATTCCCAGTGGTCCTAGAGTGCAAGTCTCTGGGGTCTGAGGGGGCAGAAGTCTTTGAATTGTAAAAATCTGGTTCGCCTGAGGCTGGAGAGGGGGAGGCAAGGAATTAGGGTTAGGGCGTCACCAGGAAGCTCCGGAGCACGAAGTTGAGATGAAGGTTAGGGTCCCGTTTTGCCTCGCCGTGCTCTTCCCTCCCCTTATCCCATAGCGTCATACCTAGGCTTGGGTGCTCCATGCCCGATCCCAGGGGCACTTCCTGCAGCGCCAGGTCATCACAGCAAAACCAGCTTAGGTCCATGGTCATTCTTGTGGTTCACGGCAGCAGCAGGATGCTAGGAGAGGAGAGACCCAAGTGTGACGGGGTACTCGAAGGACCCAGACATTCAGGCGCAGCCCTCAGAGACTCGGATAGCTGGAGTTCAGAGACTTATAGTGGTCAAGAGTCCGAGGCACCCACCCTGTCATCTGGGAGATTCCAGTGGGTTGTTTTATTTATTTATTTATTTATTTTATTTTTTTATTCATTCTTCATCCTCCCCAGCAAGCTGGCTCCTCAAACCCTAGGAGGCCGGAAGAATCCTTAGTAGCGTCCGCGAGGACACAGAGAGTTCTGGAAACCCTTTGCTTTCTCAGGGGCTCAGGAATCTGGTGCCCCAAATCCTAGCCACTTCCAATCCGTCAGGGGCTTCGCGCTCTCTGACCCTCCCTCACGGACCCAGGCATCAGACACTCAAGATCCCGCTCGCTCCAGAAGTGCCAAGCCCCAGCGATGCACTCACCTCTCTGGTGTTCCCTGTTCCTCACCCCGGGGTCTTCAGCCCCATTTCATACCCGGGATCCCCCCCTCCGGAGTCTGGGGAGGGGGGATATTTTCCGACACGTCAGAAACTCTAGCAATGGGGAAGGGGTCAGGTTGCAACTGTTGCAGGGGGCGGGGTTGGGCCGGACACTGATCATTTCAAAAGCTAGCCCTCTCTTGAGGCGCCCCGGGAGGCCCCCTTTCTTGTCGCTTTCCCCAATGTGATCAACTCCAATTTGGGGTCTAGTTTCGATAGCACTAGGAGCAGTGTGTGGGGGTGTGGCTGAGGTCCGATCCCCCCAGCACCAGCCCTTTACTCTCAGGGCCCTGGAGTCGGAGTCAAGTGGGTTTCCTGGAGGTGGTGGGATCAAACGAGCTAGCGACCCCCAGCTCCTGGCCACCCCCAGCCCCGCCCTCAGGGGCTTGGGCGCCTGGGACTGTCGCAGTTGCTGGGCGAATCCCGCAGCACGAGGGATTTGCGATGGGTATGTCTGGAAGGTTTTGGGGACCGGAGGTAGGGCGTAACGGGGGCCACTGTGGGTTCCGTGAGTAACTTGAGTAGGCTTGAGCTTGGGAAATGGGGCTCGGCGGCAGGTCGGTTAGACATGGGGACCTGGGGAGGGGTCTCTGGGCAGAGTGAAAGGTTTCTGAGCTGGGAGGGGGCTGCGGACCGATGGTCTGGCCAGCGACTGCGGGGGCGGCTCGAACTGTTATCTCCGGAAGTGGAGGATTTCCGGCTGAGTCCCCCAGGGGCTGACGTCACAATCAGCGAGTGTGACGCGTGGGGAGGGGGTTATGGTGTCTCGGTCCTCCCTCTTTGCCCGGACACTCAAGCCCTGTATTCCCTGTCTCTTTGAGGGGGTATGGGCTTGCCTCCCCTGTCTCCAGGAAGCCCGTTGGCACCCCATTTCCCAACTCCCAATCCAAGGTGAGTGAGACTTGCCTTGTGACCCTGGCACTATTCTCTTCCCGTTCTGGAGGCGTGGGGTTAGTCTCAACTCCCCAGCCAGTCGGCGTCCTGTAGACAGGGGTCTGGTACACTCCACAAACATAGGGCCCAGTGACTACATCCCTGCCTTCCTGTTTCTGCAGCACCAGCACCATGGGTTCCCCTCTATTTCTCTTTTCCTTCACTGCATTTGGGACTCAGTTTCCTCATGTGTAAAACGGAGACAGCACCACCTGTAGTACCTTAGCCCCGCAGTTATCCTTGGGCCTCTGTATCTGTCTCCAGGACTCACTTTCCTCATCTGTAACGGGCAGCAATGCCTGTAGGACTCTAGCTCCACACCGTTGCCAGTGAGGCTCCAGAGTGTGTGTAAGGCTTCGTAAATCGTAGGTGTCAAAGAACAGGCAGCTCCCATTGTTCCTGAAGCTGCCCTCCTGGATTGAGTATCTGTTTCTCCATCTGACTCTTCCTGTTTCTGACCTCCATCACTCAATGTGTGTTTACATTAATCTTTGAGTTGCTCTGGTCCCCTTCCCCCCACCCAAGACCTTGGAGAACTGGGGCTGGGGGTTGAGCCCAAGAGGGGAATGGGGCCCCCCAGGTCGTTTCCTGTTGGAGGACAGGCCCCATGCGGACTCTGAGACCCTCCCCCCCAACACAGCATAACGGAAAATTTGACATCAGAGAACCCGAGGGGAAGGTGGACTAAGGCCATTTATTTGGGCTTTTCCTGGGGCTGACCCTTCCCCCTCAGCAGCTGCCATCCTTCCAACTCTCTTCTACAATGGAAGTGATCTCTAGAGAAGGGGTCCTGAGGTCTCATCTTCCCAAACCTCACCCCCTACTCCCAACTTCAGAAGCTGGCAGACTTTGGATTCCTGATGGCAAGGTGTCCAGATGACAAAATACTCTTAGAGTGATTGAAAGAATTCAAATTTATTCAGTTTGGGGACAGGGGCAAGGTCATCATAGGGGATCAGGGGGAATCTTGGGGGGTCTGGGCTATCTAAGCCCAAGCTTCTTTTTCTCCTTCTGCTTCTTCCGCACGACATCCAGGTTGCGGTCCTTCCACATGCTCTTGCGCAGCTTGATGGGGCGTGAGCCCACGTACTTCCCTGGGGGGAGGGGAGCCAGGTCAGTTAGGTTATATGGGCTGGCGGGTCAACAGCTCTGGACCAGGGGTACTCAGGATCTGACTTACCGTTCATCTCCCTCATGGCCCGCACATAGTCACTGGGGTCCTTGAAACTGACAAAGCCATAACCCTTGGTCTTCCCTGTGCGCTTATCCCGGATAACTTTGGCCTTGAGGAAGGAGGGGAATCGGCTGAAGGCTCTAGCCAAAATGTCGTCATTCACCTCATTGCCCAGGTCCCCACAGAAGATCCGGAAGTCATCTAGGCCATAAAGGGAGAGGGAGAAGATGATCTCTTCAACCACCTCTGCCCCAACCTCTCCTCATCCCTGAGCACCAGCAGCCTCTAATATTTTACCTGCATCCCACTCCAGGAGGCTGGGGTCTTCCCAACTGCTCCCAGCTGCTGTTCGGATGCAACGTTTTAGCTTCTCTGGCTTCCCTTTCTTCTTGTCCTCACCCAAAGGCTCTGGGACCTGGGAGGAGGGGGCAAGGGTGAGGACTGAAGAACCTCTGGGGCAAACTAAGGTTCTCAGCTCTTTGTCCCTCCCCAGCAAACCTTCTCCAACTGAAAAAGTATCTACTGAATGCCTACTTTTGGGAAAGACTTCCTTGACACCTTCCAAATCCCCTTTTGACCTCCCTTGCCCCACCCCTGGCATGGCCCCACACTGACCTCAAGGGCCATGAGTCCTGGGGGTGGCTGGGGCTCAGGCCGAGGCCTAGGCCGGGGCCTGAGGGACAGGAGCTCAGGGATTCGAAGAGGTGGAAGCAGGCCCCGAACGACTTCCAGGGGCAGAGGCAGGGGCTCAGGCTCAGGCAAGGGCATGGCCAAGGGCAGGGGGAGGCTAGGCCCAATGACCGCAGCGGCTCCTGGACCCCCCACAGCTGCCCCCGCTTCTTCCAGTCCTGCAGCGGCAGCAGCCGCCACAGCTACAGCTGCAGCTTCTTCTTTCTCTTTCAGCCCCAGGCCCAGGCCCAGGCCCAGTTCCCGAGGGGCTGGAGGCTCCTCCTGCCAGAAACACAAGGAGATGAAGGTGTCAGAGAAAGAGGGGAACAAGAGGCCCCAGAGCCAGGGATGGGGGGGAGGGCAGGGGCACTGGCCACAATGCTCAGAGCAGCCCACTACCCCTAACTCTAAGGCTGGCAGGCACTCACAGCTCAGACTGCCAAGGACCTAAGTGGCTTCAGAGCTTGAGTGGGAGGGGACAGAGGAAAAAAGATATAAAGGAAGCAAACAAGAAAGGGAAACACAGAGGGATGCACAGAAGGTGGAGACACAAACATCTACGGGAGACTCAGACGACATTCAAAGTTAGGAGGCTGGATTCCATGGTTCATGATAGGGATGTCTGTATCCCCACGAATTCCCTTCTCACATGCCCTGTACACTCACTGGGGGAGGCCTCAGGGTTGCCATTGTGCCAAGTGGGGGTCCTGGTGCCCGGGCCATCGGGGGCAACATCATGGGAGGTCCAGGGGGACCAGGCAGGGGAGGCCCAACCAGGGCCTGATGCGGTGGCCGAAGAGCCATGGGGCGTGGGCCGCCTGCTAAAGAAAAAGAGAAAGTGTGTGGTGAAGGGGGTCCTTGGGTCTTTGAGGTGCCGGGGACGCCAAAGAGGGGATGGGGCCGGGCCAGGAACATTCCCTGGGCCCTTCTCTCACCCGCTCTCTGCAGCACATGGGGGACGAAGGCTGGGCGCAGGATGGGGGGACGCTGCGGGGGCACTGCTGAGAGACACAGACAGAGATGGAGACAGGCGTGAAGGGCCATGCCTCAGGGTCTTTGAAGGAAGGCCTCAAGGGTTCAGGGGTTGAGGGGGTCCTAGGATCACTTGAGACATTTCTCATGGGGTGCTGGGGTTACTGCTGGCACCTCTGAGTCAGTCTTTTAAATTTCAGGGAGCCCTAGGATCACTGGGATGTCTCTAAGGGGGAGAAGAGAATGGGTGTCTAGGGGATAAGGGCTTGACAGTATCTTTTAGAGTCCTTTGGGGTTAGGTCTCTGAAAAGGTACCATAGTTGGGAGACTATGCCTGCCTTGAGCAGGCATTGTGGAATTGTCTGGGAGTTCTATGGGTCAGGAAAAAATCCTGGGGGGGGGGGTAGTCAGGATTTTGTGATTGTCCTGGAGGGATTTCCTGGGTAGGCTTATTTATTGGCAGTGGGGGTGGGGGAGACTAGGGGTGTGTGTGTGTTAAGGGCAGAGAATATTGAATCCTAGGCTTTGGGTCCTGGGCACTGACCCGCCCGGCGAAGGAACATGGCATCCCGGGCCTCAGGGCTGTCGAGACGACCTCTATCTCCTCCAGGGCCGAAACCAACTGTGGAGGAGAGAAAAAACTGCATTGGTAGGATGACCTTCTGGACTCCTCCTTCTTGACCCTCCCTCATACCTCCTTCCCAACTCACCAGGACCCACAAAGGGGCCAGGGGGACCTACAATGGGAGCAATTACTGTGGCTGCTGCTGCTGCCCGGGCCTCCAGGCTCTGCTGGACCTGACCAGGGGGAGGACAAGAGAAAGTGGTCAGTGAGGGAGCTCACGTTCCCTCTTTCTTTGGAGCCTGTGCTAACAGACAAGTGGGATAAAGGATAAAAGACGGTTTGGAATTAATGAACTAGTTGAATGGTAGAGTCTATACACATGAAGGCACACCATACCCCCCTACCTGCTGGTAGGTGTTGGTGGCAATGATTGGGCGGATCACAGGTGCAGGCTCCACAGCTGGTACAACTGGGGCTGGAATACCAGATATTGGAGCCCCCAAGACTTCCTGCTCAAACCTGTGGGGCAGAAATATGAAATGATTCAGGTACACAGAAGACTCACTGGCTTTGGTGACAGAAGGGATCTCAGAAGCCACCTGATCCGACCCTCTCTCTTCGCAGGCTCAGAGGGAAACTTAGGAACGCCAAGACAACTGAGAGACAGAGGCTCAGAGATAGAGGAAGAAGTATGAGGAAGAGAGAAACACACGGGGAGTCAGGCAAAGAAAACATTTAGAAAAAACAGCAAGTGGGGGCAAAGACTAAGACCAGGATGTGGACAGGGAAAGAAAAAAGATAAAAAAAATCAGGGACATACAAAGCCCAAGTCACATCCAGAAAAAAGACACGGAGCCAAAACACACCAAAAAGAGATAATTAGAGAAAGATACATCCAGAAAGAGATGGACAGAGAAGACGCCAAGCAGGGGTAGAGACCTTCACAATTACAGCCGAAGGGAGACACCTAGATGGAAGGTATGAGATACTCAGAGACAGACCCAAGGAAGTGCAGACAAAGCAGACGCAGGGTACAGACACCCAGAGACGGGACCCTCCCGGTGAGAGGTGAAAAGAGGCGGGGAGACCGGCGGACCCACCCCCGAGGAGGGGCCGGAGGCAGCTGGCAGCGGCGGACCCCTCCTCCCCCGCCCATCATGGGGGCAGCCGGCCTCACCCCTAAGGAGGGGCCGGAGGGAGCCCGCAGGCGCCCCCTCCCCTCTTCCCTGCCCCGCCCTCACGAGGTCGCCCCTCCCCGCACCCGGGCCCCTCGGAGACAGGGGGACAGCCGCCCTGGCAAGGGTGCGGCGGGGGAAGGGAGGGGCTCACAGCGCCATCTCCGCCTCCATCTCTTTCAGTCGCTCCTCGCCGCTCTTCCCGGGCACACCGGGCCCTGGGCCCGAGGGCAAGGCTCCCCCCGCGCCCGGGAGTCCCGGGGGCGGCCCCGTCCCAGCCATCGTCGTCGCTACAGCCGCTTCCGTCGCGGCCACCGTCTGCCTGTCTTTGCAGGCGCACGCCGATGACGCAGGACACACGTGCTCGACAGGAACCAACCGGCTCCACTTTGTGCGGGCCCGACCGGCGCGCAGGCGCAGTTGCTTCCTCGCCTCCCGAGCCAATGAGAGCCCAAGGAACAAGAGGCCACGCCCCCAGCCTGCAACTTCGTTTCAATCGGCCGAGCAAACTCTTGGGAGCTGTGTTTTCCAGAAGGGAGGGAGGGGGCGTTCCGAGGCTAGAGGTGGGAGTCGTCCCTTTCCGCTACCTGGGGACCCGAGTTCAAGCCTTAGCTCGCCTCTACTGGCACGAGTGTTACCTGGACTTGGTCAAATTCCCGCCTCTGTTTTTTCCACTTGGAAAATGCAGGGGCTGCGGTGTGGAAGCCTGGGGGGAGCGGAGCCTTGAAGGCCGGGAGCTGGCGGGTCCCCGGGAGCACCCTTGCTGGGGGCAGAAGGAAAGGAGCCAGTTTAAAAAGTGAACCAGCAAAAAGGGGGATGGTTAGCGCAGTGATAGAGGTTGTGAAGTCTTTTATTTTTTTAAGATTGGCGAAATTCGAAGAGGCCGAGGGGGAGTAACACTTCTTAGCTGTAACCACGAAACCTCGGTGCCTCAGTTTCCTCATTTGTAACATAAATACACCTGTTTCCCAGGATCGTTGTGACACGAGATGCCTGCCCCATGTTTTGCGAATCTTAAAGCGTTATATAAATACTATTAGCTGCTATTAAACTGACGGGGGAAGCACTCGTGGAAGATGGGATGGGATGGACATCACCTTTGCCAGGGTATGGGAAGAAAACGCTCTTTTCGAGGGAGAACTGGGCAATGACAGGGTCTAGCTGAGGTCAGCCCCTCCACACTCCCAGGGGCACCAGGTTACCGCCCATTCCCATTCTGTGCAGGCTCCTTCAGTGGAATTCAGGGAGTGCTGCAGCCTCGGAGGAAACACTTAGTGACGGTTTGTTGGTTGGTAGGTGAAGAGCCCGGATTCCGGGGGGTGGGGTGTGTGAAAGCCTTTACGACAGACAGAGACTTTGGGTCGGGGACTGAGGGCTTGAGGTCAGCCTCTGCTCCCACCTCTCCAAAACCCAACCTAGAAGAGATCCTTGGGGACCATCTGGTCCAGTCCCAGAGGCCCCAGAAATGGGAAGTGATTTGCTTGAGGTCCCATTCAACTCTTATTAATAGGAACAGAAGAATAATAAAATGGAGCCCAAATCTCATACTCAGAAGGAACCTTAAGAGACCACCTTGTCCTGCCTTTGAAAGGCAAGGGACAGAGCCTCTGACCTAGGGTCAAGAATGGACTGGGAGTCAGGAGGGGGTTGTGGTCCCTGATTTTTCAGCCAGGACGTTGGAATTTAGTTTCCTGAAGAATGGGGAAACCAAACCTTCCTGGGCAGAGGTCCCTGGTCGTATGACTGGGGTGGGGTGGGGAATGGCAGCCCTGTAGTGTTTCCACTTTCTCCTGCCCCCAAGCTCCTCCATGTCACCCCCAGCTCAGATCTGTGGGGAGGTTTAAGTAGCTTGGAAGGGCCAGGCTTTGATAGCCAGCAAAGGGCTGGGGCTTGAGGGGGCACAGCATCCTCTCCCAGGGGATACTGGCTCTCCAGCAGGAGCTCAGGGTCCGGATCCTTCCCTGCCTTGTCTCCACTCCCCAGTAAATACACTGCTCCTCTCCTAAGGAAGACCTTGATGAGAAAATGGGGCTGAGGACCCCAAGGCCTGGGGAAGCATTTCCCTCTTTCTGGGGCACTCTGACCTCTACTGGGATTCAGGATCCCTGAAGCATCTCCCATGACCCACTTAACATACCCTACACATTGAAGCAGGCCCTCCTGCTCAGACCTGGAATACTGCAAAAGCAGCTAGGAAGGCTAAAATGTCATGAGAACAGGGTCCCCAGGAAGATGTAGCCCTCCACCAGGAGGAAAGATGCTACTGTACCCCTCTAGGGAAGGGCCCCCACAGCCCTGGCCAAACCCAGGTAGAGGGAGGTGTCCTGCCCAGTCTGCTGTCAGTCCCTGGGATGCCCCCTCTCCATGTCATGAGGGAGCCAAGAGCACCGTGAGGGTGCCAGTGTGGAGACCAGCTGTAGGTGGTGGCTAGGTTTCCTTCCCCACCCAGGGATGGACCCTTAGGCCAGACCAGGGCCCAGCCTCCATCCAAAAAAACCCCACAGTGAGGGCTTCTTTCACTGTCCATTCCCAACCGTATCACCTGGTCCACCTGCCACAGATCTACTCTCCCCACCCCCTTCCTTAGAGGAGTATCTCAAGCCTATGATTTCCTATCCTGGAACTATCCCCAACGTTGGGCAACACTGCCCTGGGGAAACCCGGACTGCCTCCTCTCCTTTCAGCTGAGGGAACAGGCCAGGCAGCTCAAGGGCCAAGGGGACAGGAGTTGGTGCAGGGGCACTGAAGGACCAGAGAAGTTGGAGGGTCAGAGGTTAAAGGCACAGAGAAAAGCCCTGATCCCGAAATCTTTAGGCACTTTACTGGGAGTTTTATCCGTGAAAGGACGGATCCAATTCTATTTGTGTCCCATGTCTGTGTCTGGCTCTGTGCTTCCACTCCAAACCTTACTATTCAGGCTCTCCGCCCCTGGGCCCGGGCCCAGCGAAGCTTCCACTGCTGTAGGGAGAGGCCATCCTGGTCCTGAAGCTCTCCAGGGAGGGCGTTCTGCCCTGGCTGGTCCCACCTGGGGGCGAGGCAGAAGAGTCTGGATGTAGGTCCCTGGGGGTCCCGGGTCCTCCTCCCAGCCCGGCCCCGGAGCGCCCCCTTTCTCAGCTCTCCTCAGCCCCACTCGTCGGCTCCCACCCCGGATCCCTCGGCCCCCAGGCTGCGCCTCTCACCAGTCCCCCACGGCCTTCAGAAGCTGGGGGATACGGTCCAGTCCCCGCTCCATCAGCTCCTCGAGGCGATGCAGGAGGGGGCCCAGGTGCTGTTGCTGCTTCTTCTCCTCAGACTCCTGGATCTGAAGCAGTTCTGGGGGGAGGGGAGGCAATTCAACGTGACTCAGTGAGCGTCCATTAAACACCTCTGATGGGCAGGAGCACGTTTGGTGGCAGGATTTTAACATGCACGGTCCAGTCCCTGTCCTTCAAGGATTTTTCAGTCTAAGAGGGGGAAAGGTCTTGCACAGAAACAAGTATGTTAATAAGGGAGAGTGAAAGGTTAGAAAATAGAATAAGACACGTGATGTTTTAGGAAAATGTGAGGATGTGGACAACTTTCATCTGGGGAAGCTGCGTCAGGTTTTACAAAGGAATGGGAGCTGACATGGAGATGAGGAGGGACAGTCTTCTCATGGCCTGAACAAATAAATGTACAGGCACAGGAGAGAGTATGAGGAAGTCAGGTTCGGCAAGCATCATCCAATTTAACCTTCCACGGAGTCAAGAAGTCCAAGAAGTCTTCAGATACTTAATTAGTTCAAGTTCACCTCCTCCAGGTTAATCGGACCTTTGTCTGTTGAGGTGTGGGCATTCAAAGCTGCACATGTGTTGAGGGCACTGCATGGGCCATTTTTTCCCATGAACCTTCACCTTCTCTTTGATCCCTCCCTTTCCTTGACCTTAGACATCCACCCAGTGCTGGGTCCTGGGCATTCTGCCTCTACACTATCCATGTATTCATTTCTGTTGTCAAGAGATGGCCATGTGGCAGAAGGAGAGGGTGCAGAGATTGGCCAAGTGATCCGTATGGAGATCCGTTTGTACGGAGAGGCCTAGCCAGTCTGGACACCTACGTCCGCAAAAACCTGAAATCCACACCAGACTGAATAATGACCAAGAAATTGACTGAAAACTACAAGTGGTTTCTTCCGCCTCAGAACTGCACCAAAAGCCGTAAGAAAAGTGCCCACAGCAAAGTAAGCAAAGACTTCTAGCACAACCAGAAAAAGGTCAGGGCCAAGGGCAGCCTGTATGGGCAGCAGTTCTGTAAGAGCCCCGCCCCAAACAAGAAAGGGCCTGACGGGGGCCCCTGTCCTGACTTGCCAGAGAGGGCCTTGAAGAACCAGAAGAGCAGAGGGCTTTGGAAGGAGGCGGCTGGGGTGGGAACCCAGATAAACCAGGGTCAGACTAGGCAGGGCCAAATCCACCAGCCACAAGCACAAAGCTGGGGCGGTGAATATCCTGACCCCTACAGAGCTTCAGTTCAGGAGCTGAAGCTGCAGAGATGAAAAACAAAGAAAACACCAACTAGTATCACAGATTACTAGCAGTCTAGGAATCCGGCCAGAAGAAAGGGAGGATAACTCTGTGAAAAGCTGCAGGTGGAGACTCAAAGAAAAACAATGGATTTTTCTACAAGGACCACTTGAATAACTAGAAAGTAGAAAGATTAAAAAATGAAATAAAAGCTCTTGAAGGAAGAATAAATAAATAACAAATAGCTTAGAAGAGAAAGAAGTAAATCTTACATCTGAAAGCCAGAGGAGTCCAAAAGAAATTCATGACTCCATGAAATAGTAAGAAGTATCAGAACAAGATTAAAAGGTTAAAAAAAGAAAATGTGCACATCAGATATCACAAACAACAACCGGCCTGAAGAACAGATCCAAGAGAGAGAACTTAAGAATCATCGTACTTTCTGAAAACCAGGATGGATTTAAAAGGGAAAAAAAAAACGCCTGGACACGATATTTCAGGAAATCACAAGTGAAAACTGCTCCAATCTATGAGATCTAGGGGGGTGAAGCAAAAGTGTAAAGAAGCCTCCAAGTGTCTCCTGAAAGGAGTCCCCAAAAAAGAATGTCCCACATCAAAGAAAAACTACTGCTGGCATGCCAAAGGAGGCAATCCACGCAGACCAAGATACCACAATCAGGATCACACAAGACCACAGAACAAAAGGAGATCTGGGAGTACAATCCTTCTAAAGTCAAGAGAGACAGCCTTACAACTAAGAATAATTCACCCAGCAAACTTGAATATAATCCGGGGGGGGGGGAGAATGGACCTTTAATGGAACAGAAGACTTTGCAGCCTTTTTGTGGTAAGGACCAGAGCTGACTAGGAACTCTGGCACACAAACACAAGAGAGCAGAAAAACCTGGGAAGGTGAATGTATTGGAGGCCTCAAAAGGGGCCATATGAGATAGTGCTAACATTGTAAAGGGAAAAGAAACAAATGTTCCTTCAGGACTGAATTTTATCAAAGGGAATTAGATGAAAACAGAGGGCCTGGGGAGGAACTGGTCCTGCTCTAAGGGAGGAGAAAAAGAGGGAAAAGTAAAAGGGAAGAAGACACCAGTGCAGATGGGGGAGGAAAAAGTGGGGGCTGCTGCTTCTCATGATTGGCAAGGTGGATAAAGAGAAGTCTGCCAACATGGTGGAAGGGGTGAGGAAGCAGCGGGAGATGAAACTCACTTCTACCAGAGGCAGACAAAGGAGGGCTGAACATGCACACTTTGGTGACTCAACAGGGGAACGAGTGGGGATGAGGCCAGGGGGATCGGATAAAAGGGAGCATGATACAGGGGAGGGAAGTTCTGTAAGCAAAACAAAGGAGAGGAAACAGGAAAAAAGAAAGAGAATCAAGAGGGGTCCCCTCACTGGAGAACAGCTGGACAAATTGTGGCCTGTCAACAGAAGGAGCTATGATGGTGCTGCAAAAACTGATGGAAGAGAGGATCCCAGAGAATCCTGGGCAGCATGAACTGACCAGAGCCAGAGAACAGTGTGCACAAGGTTTGTCAAAACAATGGACGGCTAATGGCGTCCGTGGAAGGCCTAACTCAGCTCCTGGTGGGAAGGAGACGGGTTGGGTGCAGAAAGACCTGGCCATTTCTGAAAGTGGCCACACGGGCTGGATTCGTTCTGTTTGACTATACTTATTTTTCACAAGGCTGGTTTGTTTTAATTGTGTGGGACTGGGACAGAGAGAGAGAAAGGGTGATCAATACTGATTTTCCCCAAAGAGGAATTTTTAAAAAACGTATAGAGAAGAACAGAAGGAGGTTCATAGGGAAACAAAGACAAAACGCAGGAGCGTTTTGAAAGTCGGGTAGTGGCCTGAAACTCTGTGTGTGTGTGTGCACGTGCGCGCACATATGAAAATACTTTTTTGGGGGGTGTTTAATTTCAAACATTTTTAAAAAGAAAAAAAGGTTGATTGGGAGAGATTTGGACTTGAATCCCAGAAACTGAATTTTGGGAGGAAAAATGTGGGAGAATTGGGAGCACAGGAGAAAAAGGATCAAGGAAAAAGGAGCTGAAGACTCAAAGGGGGGGAGGAGGAGGAGGAAGGAAGTGATGGCAAGATGAAGGATTAGAGGGCAAGATATAAGTCAAACAAATGGGGAAGCAAAGGGTAAGTGAGAGAAGGAAACAAGAAACAAGGGAGAAGGATAAAGGGATAAAGAGGTGAACAAAACGAGACCACCTACAACAGGCTGAAAGACAAAGACGAGCTGGGGCCAGGGGGCCAAGGCCGACCCCGTGCCTGCAGCGTCTGGATCTCTGAAAGGGGCAGGTTCCGAGGTTCGGGCTCTCTCCCAGAACAAGAGGGCGTAAGGTGAAAGTCAAGGAAGTCCTCTGGGTCTCACCTCCTGGTAAGGGGCAAACTGCTAGTTTTGGTAATGCCCAAAGAGCTAAGAGCAGGGTGATACCTGTAAATAATGTTTTATTGTATTTGTAAGTGTAACACCCTGTTCTTAGCTACAGGTAGGGCAGCTGGCCAGCTCCAGCTGGGAATGACTGAGTGTCCCAATAGCCAATCCAGTGGCCAATCCTGATGGTCTGCTCTGCTGCAGACCTCACTGACCACCCTCTTTTCTTCTAGTAACATGAGTTTATTGTCTCTATGCAGAGGACTTTCCTGGAGATTTCAACCTCGCATCACCAGCCATCTATGGGACACCTCAAATCGGACATTCTGGAGGCACCTCAAACTGAACCTATACAAAACAGAATCTTACCTTCTTTCTTTGCTAACTGTGTCCGGTTCCAGTTCATAACCTCAGCATTATTCTTGATCTTCCCTCTCTCTTCCTGAATCCCATCAGCCGCTGAATCCTGCCCTTTCCACGTCCATGACCTCTCTTGCACTCAGTCAGATCACCATCACCTCTCACCTTGAGTCTCTTCCCACCCCACCCCTTTCTGCCAAAGTGACTTTCTAGCCTTGCTTGAGCTCTGCTGAACACCCTCCCAAATACCTGTTAAAAAAATTGGTTCTAAACCAAAGTGACTTTCCTTAAGAGATTTGACTATGTCCCTAGCCTACTCAAACGCCAATGGTTCCCTACTGCCTCTAAGATCAAATAGAAAGTCCTTGGTTTGGTTTCCAAGTCTTTTCCAACATGGCCACAGTCTCTCTCACTTCACTTTTCTTCTTCCTGTACTCTCTGGTCCAGCCAAACCAGCCCTCTGTGTTCCTGACACATGGCCCTCATCTCCCACCTCAGCACCTTTGCCCCACAGACTCCCTGACTCCCTCTCTTCCTCCAAGACTCAGCTCTGGCACCATATTCTACAGGAAGCCTTTCCTGCTTCCCCTGACTGCAGTGCCCTCCCTTCCAAACTACCTTGTTTGTCAGAGACATACATACATACATATGTATATGTATGTATGTGTGTATATATATATATATGTGTGTGTGTGTGTGTGTATACACACACACACACACACTCCACTGTATATACATTTGTCTCCTTGAATAGACTGTGAACTTCTTGAGAGTAGGGATTATAACATTCTTTTATTTGTGCTCCTGGCACCAAGCAGGTGTTTACCAAATGAGATCACACAGTAAGGGTCAGAGGAAGAGGTGTGCAGTGGAGGTGGTCGGGAACTCCTTGCTGAGGGCTGGTGAGAATGCTAACAAAAGAGAGGTCTATTGTCTCCCTGAGGCATGTTTTAGCAGAGAACCTCCTAAGACTTGTCAAAACAGATTAGTAACTACCACTTGAGGTGATTCACATGGACACAAATGATGCTGCTAGAAACCCTTGCTAAAAGTTATTCAAGCTTGGGCAAGA